GGGGAACTCAGGGAGGGCGCTGAGCCCAGAGAACCAGCCTGGGAGCTGAAGCCTGGAGGGATCACAGATGGCAGGAGGTGACTCATTTCTGGGGAGCAGGGCGGTTGTCCAGAGGAAGGGAGGTGGCTAGAGTGACGGGCAGGCCGGTCAGAACAAGGGCCAGGCAGCATGGCTTGGAAGCGAACCTGCCAAGGCTTTGGTCTCATGGGCTGACACAGGCTGTTTGCATGTCAGTAGGAAAGAAAGAGCAGAGCCCTAGCTGGATTGGCTCAGTGGATACTCAGAGCACAATTGCTGTAAGATTATGTTTAGCTCCTTAAGAAACTTCCAAACTGGCTGTGCCATTTGGCATTCCCACCAGCAATGGATACACTACTGCTACGCCACATCCTCACCAGCTCTTGGTGGTGTCGGTGCTTGGGATTTTAGCCATCCCAATAGGTCTGTAGTGGTGTCTCATTTTTGTTATTTTGTTTTAATATGCTGTTTTATTGATTTCAGAGAGGAAGAGGGAGGTAGAGAGAAATAGAAACATTAACAATGAAAGGGAACCATTGACTGGCTGCCTCCTGCACGCCCACAACTGGGGATTGAGTCCACAACCTGGGCATGTGCCCTCAACCGGAATCGAACCTGCGACTCTTCGGTCACCAGGCTGACACTCTATCCACTGAGCCAAACCAGCCAGGGCATCTGCTCCAGGTTTAAGTGTAAGCTTCTGTTGGCAGACCTCCTCCCTCATTGAATCAGACAGCCTCTGGGTGTAACATCCTATTCCAAAACTCAGCAGCTTAAAACAATGGTCATGCACCTGTGGGCAAAGTGGGGTTCAGCTGAGTGCAGCTGGGTGCTCCAGGCCTCGGGCCTGCTCTGCTCTATGTATCTCACACCTTCTTAGGCCCAATTTAAATATATAAATGTGTTTCAATATAATTGGTTTCCTTTGTAATCTCATGGATATTATTTTATGCATTTAACCCCATCCCAGCACCTGTCACACTGCTCTGCGTCCCCGCTGGATGCACTGTGAGGTTCCCGAGGGCAGAGACTGTGTTCACATTTCTATTTTGATTTTTTATTATGAAAAATTTCAAACATATACATAGAGAGAAGGGCACCATGTAACCCCATACACCCGCCACCTCCCTTCCCAGCCCCCCATTACAGATTTTGTCTCATTGGTTCCATCTCTCCCCTTTTTATTTCTTTCTTTGCTAAAGCATTGGAAAGCAAGTCATTTCCCCCTATGTATTTCATCGTGCTTCTCTAAGAAATTCAGTAAGTAGTTTTTTTGTTTTGTTTTGAATATATATTTTATTTTTTACAGAGAGGAAGAGAGAGGGATAGACAGTTAGAAACATCAATGAGAGAGAAACATTGATCAGCTGTCTCCTGCACACCCCCTACTGGGGATGTGCCCGCAACCAAGGTACATGCCCTTGACTGGAATCGAACCTGGGACCCTTGAGTCCTACAGGCCGACGCTCAATCCACTGAGCCAAACCGGTCAGGGCAGTAAGCAGTTTTTAAACCATGAATCACTGTGTGTTCAGAGCTATTTATAATAGCCCCAACTGGAAACAAGCTTGTTAGCTAACATGTGAGAATGAGGATATACCCGGTCAAAGGACGATGCCACACCCATTAGAGAATCAACGCGAAGACCACACAGCCACGTGGCCAAATGCTTGTGGCCCAGAAAAACACAGAAAGGCAAAGAGCCGGTCCACGGTGTTCTCTGCGCCCTCACTGGTTGCCACAGCCCTGCCTGGCTTTCTGGCCAGAGAGGAGGAAGGCGAGGGTTAGGATAGTGGGTGACGGGCGAATGTGTTATTCTCCCTTCAGAATATCCCTCCGTCATCTCTCGAAGCTGTTGGTAGCTAATCAGAGTTGCCGCAGCGGCTGTGAGGCCGAACAAAGGCCTGAAGGAATGTGCTGGGTCCGTGGGGGCGCTGGCGGGAGGCACAGGGAGCCTGGCTGCCGCTCCCGGCGGTGGCTGACAGCAGCGTGGCTTTACAGGGGTCTGGGGTTGGGAAAGGCGCGGTACAATGGCAGGCAGTTATCTGATGCTCCCGGCCTGGGTGTGCCTCACACATGTGGGCGCCTGTGATAGGGCCCGGAGCTCACTAAGGCTCCACACGGTGACCTTTTCAAGGTCAATGGTTGTGGTATCTTCATCCCCCCGCAGAAGCTGGTCTTGGATTGATTACAAACCCGTGTGACCCATGGGCTAGTCCTGGGAAAGCAGGACCCACTTCCCAGCTTGTTTCCCAGGCGCCTATTCCCAGAGAAGGAGGAACAGCAGTTCCTCGTACGTACCCCCATCTCCTGGGAGCTCAGTGCCCTGCAAACAGGAGGCGCCAACTCAGTGCTTGTTCTCCCGAGTGCCAGGCTGAGCCCAGTGTCTTCTTACTACCTTGAAACTGAGACCTGAGTCCTAGCTAGTTTGGCTCAGTGGATAGAGTGTTGGCCTGCAGACTGAGGGTCCCGGGTTCGATTCCAGTTAAGGGCACATACCTCGTGGCAGGCTCCATCCCTGGCCCCGGTTGGGATGTGGGGAAATCGATGTGTCTCGCTCACATTGGTATTTGTCTCTGTCCCTCCCTGCCCCCTTCCTCTCTCTAAAAACCAATGGGAAAATATCCTCAGATGAGGATTAACAACAAACAACAAGAAGAAGGAGGAAATGAAAATGAGACCTGAGAAATTTTGGAAGGAGGACCGGCCATAGTGCACTATTTAGGGAATCAGGTATGGGAAAGGAAGCCCCAAGTTGAAGTCTCAGCTCCCCTCTTAAGTCACATGGGGACCTTGCAACTGACCTCATCTACCAACATGTCCATTCACCACCTCCGCCTGACTCTCAACCAGTCCGATGCCACACACATCCACTGAGCAGCTTCGCTGGGCTGTGAGGACCAGAGCGGAAAGCCACAGTTCCCGCCCTCGGGGAGGGCACGGCTCATAACGATAGCGCACTGGAGGCCGGTGCGTGAAGATTCGTGCACGAGTAGGCCCCCCGCTGCCGGCAGCCGCTTCCTTCTGGCACCTGGGACCCAGGCTTCCCTCCTCCGGCTGCCCGCAGGGAGTAATTCCTGGGGTGGGAACCAAGAGGAATTTCTGGGAAGGTGTTCATTGGCTAAGAGCCTGGGAGATGGAGTAGAAATTCACCAGGTAGTCAAGTGCGGGCAGAACAGGAACAAAGACAGAGGCGGGGCACTGGCTGTTTGGGAAACCTAGGGCTGAGGGTGAAGTGGCTGGAGGGTCGGCTTTCCTCCGGGGCTGCCAGGCGGGGCCTGGCAATGTCAACTAAGGGGCTGTTACCTACGAGACAGAAAACCCTTCTGACACCACGGGTGTGGTTCCCACAGCAAGCAGTCCTCCAGGTCTCTGCAGACACCTACCTAAATCCTCTTAACACCATCTCCCAAGCGTTAGTCCAGACGCCACCGGTTAAGGGCGGATGCCCCTCTCTTCAGACACCAGTCACAAGTCGTGGATCCCCAGGTTACCCACACTCTGTTCAATTTGGCTACAAATCAGGGGTTCCCACCACCCCCTCCTCGGATCCTATAATCTATAATAATAAAAAGGTAACATGCTAATTAGACAGGATGTCTTCCAGGTGTCATTCCTGACGGAGCCGGGGCCGGAGGGAAGCCAGCCCGGATCCCGGATGCCTGTGGGAGGCCCGAGGGAAGCAGCCCCGGCTGCGGGTGCCTGAGGGCAGCAGCAGGAGGGAAGCCTGGGACCCGGGTGGCGGAGGGAAGCTGGTGCCCGCAGCAGGGGAAGGAAGGCCTACTCTTGCACGAATTTTCGTGTATCGGGCCTCTAGTATGCTATAATAGGGAAACACTTTACTTAGGATTGCCTGTTCATTATACAGGACACAAACGAGCAGTGAGATGAAGAGGTCATAGGGTACAAAGCTTCTGTCCCCGAAGAGTGTGGGGTGTGCCAGCCCCCAGGCATGGGGATGCGTTCAAAGCCCCTTCCTTGGGTTTCCTCAGAGGTTCCATTACGTAGGAAGGACTGATTAACCCACTGGCCACCAGTGATTAGCTCCAGTCCCAGCTCCTCTCTTCTCCCCACAAGTGGGAGGTGGGGGCTTGAAAGTTCCAACCCTCTAATCACAGGGTTGGCTCCTCGGACAAGCAGCCCCTCCCCCCACCCTGAAGTCATCCGGGGGCTTTCAGCCACCAGCCATCTCATGAACATGAAGCGCAGGATGGTGGGAGATGCTTCTAGAATGTGCACGTCCCACGTGCTGTCCCTTCCTCGGGCCTGTCCTGTCCTTACCTGTCACACCGCACTCCCACGTCTGTGAACTTCTCTTCCTAACCTTTAGCACCACTTGGAAGACTTATGTGTGCAAATACTGTCCTCCCCAGTTAAAATGTTAGTTATTTGAGCTGGAACCGGTTTGGCTCAGTGGATAGAGCGTTGGTCTGTGGACTGAAGGGTCCCGGGTTCGATTCCAATCAAGGGCATATACCTTGGTTGCAGGCACATCCCCAGTAGGGGGTGTGCAAGAAGCAGCTGATTGATGTGTCCCTCTCATTGATGTTTCTAACTCTCTGTCCTCTCTTCCTCTGTAAAAAAAAAAAAATCAATAAAATATATATTTTTTAAAATGTTAGTTATTTGAGGCCCTGTCTTGCTTGCTGCTTCACCCCTAACGGGCCAGGCATGGTCACCCAATGACTTTTTACTGAGTGAATGAAGAGTTCACCCTCTGCCATCCCCATCGCGTCCCTAAAGAACCTGAATCCGGCGCTTTGGGGGCCCCCCCTGGGAAACATACTGGGGTCCCAGGAAAAAGTCTTGATCCTCCAGGTGGAAGAGCGCGCCTGCGCACACGCTCCGCCACGGCCAGCCCCGCTTCGGCCAGCAGGTGGCGCTGTGCGCATGCTCCCGGCAGCGCGGTCCTCCGGGCCGCTCTAGCCGCCCTTCTCGCCTGCTCTGGCGGGCGGCGGGCGCGCCCGCGGGGTCCCTCCAAGATGGCGGCGCAGAGGAGGAGCCTGTTGCAGAGTGTGAGGAACCGGCCCGCGCTCCGGGCCGGGGGCTGGGGGTCGGGGGGAGGTCGCGGGGGCGCTGTCTGGTGCAGGCGCGGCTCTGTCCTCGCTCCGGGCCGCCTACCTCTCTCCCCGGCGGAGGGCGACCGCCGCCTTCCCCGTCCCCGGCCGGCCCGCCCCGTTGACCCGGGCGGGGGCGCGTGCGCACTGCGGGCCGGCCGCCCGGGGTCGGACTCCCGGGCTCGGACTGTCCGAGCGCGGAGGGCGCGTGGACGGGGGCAGCTCCGGAGCAGGAAGGGGACGTGGCGCCCGGCGGCGGGAGGGCAGGGGTGCCCAGCCTGGCACTGGGCTGCCGTGGGAGGAGGATGACCGTGGCGGCCACTTTGCACCGCTGACTGCATCCCAGGCAGCGCTGCCCGTGCTTCACGTTTGTAAGTTTAGTTGTCATGACAGCCCCGCGAGATGGGAACTGGGATGGTTCCTGTGGTGCAGAGAGGCATCCTCTGCTCGCGGCCACACATGGAGGGACTGCAGTTGGGCAGCCTGGTTTCTGGTCCTGGTTGTAACTCGCTGTGCCTCCGTCGGCCTCGGTTTCCTTATCTGCACCGTGAGGGCAGGCAGGGGAAAAGTTTTCTTTCTTTCTTTTCTTTTTTAAAATATATTTTATTGTTTTTTTTTACAGAGAGGAAGGGAGAGGGATAGAGAGCTAGAAACGTCGATGAGAGAGAAACATCGACCAGCTGCCTTCTGCACATCCCCTACCTGGGATGTGCCTGCAACCCAAGGTACATGCCCCTGACCGGAATCGAACCCGGGACCTTCCAGTCCGCCAACGCTCTATCCACGGAGCCAAAACCGGTTTCGGCAGGGGGAAGGTTTCCTTGAGACTCATCTCTGCCTGCAGTCTGGACCCTCCTGGGTTTGTCGCTGGTGTTGTCCAGCCCTTGCATCCCCCTGACACATGTGGATACAGGTGCACACACGTGTTGGCACCTTGGGCTTATTCTTAACCTGCGAGCAGGTTGCCTTTCCCGTAGGTCCCTCCCCAGACAGAGCAGCCTGTTGTAATTGCCTGCGGGCCTGTCTGCCTCCCGTGTGGGAAAGTGAACTCATGGAAGACGGACCTGTGCTCTGCAAGGAACAGTGTCACTAGTGCCCACCACCACTAGGTGCCAGGCATTCAATAAATGTTTGTAAAATAACGAGTGGAGCATGTGTAGCCAGATCCAGTGCTCACCATTGGCCCTCCTACCCTGGAGAGTCTTGAAGCATCAGAATTGTGTGTGTGTGTGTGTGTGTGTGTGTGTGTGAGAGAGAGAGAGAGAGAGAGAGAGAGAGAGAGAGAGAGAGACCTTTACTGCTGCATATTAATGACAGGCTTTGTGTAGACTGGGCAGAGGCTGGAAGTGGCCATTGCAGTGGGCTGACTGGCTTGCAGAGGAGACTGGCCGCCAGCTCCCTACCCTCTGGCTGTGCTGGAGCCCACGGGACAGACTCGGGTTAGAGGGAAGGTGAGCTTTCCTAGCTCCAGAATGTTCCTGAGTGGTGGCAGGATCTTTGAAAGATAGGCGAGTTAGCTTTAAGCGCATTGCATCTTAAAGGGATGCCTGATGAGTCTGCACAAGTCCCCTCCCTCCCTAACAATAATCAAGACATTTCTGCTCGCAAGGTGTCTGCGTGTGCGGGTGGTGTGCGGGGCCGTGTCGCTGTCCTGAGTCTGGTGAGAGGCGCCGGCCGATGGCTGTGAGTCCGCCAGGCTGGGCCTGGGGTTACAAAGATAACAAAGACATCTGCGCACCCTCGCTGCGTTTGCAGATCGGTTTGAGAAGGAGCCATAGGCCACCAAACAGTGCACAGGCTACTCCCGTGTCCGTGTGTCAGAGGCTGTGGATGGCCTGTCTGGCCGGGCCAGCGGGGCCCTGCGGAGGCCTGGGAACCGCGCACACGGAGGGTGTGCTGGGCCAGGCCAGTACTTGGAGGAACGGCATCCCAAGGAGTCTCCCTTCCTTCCCCAGGCAGTGTGGTGCCTTCACGGGCCTTTGGAAGAAAAGAAGAGCTTTGGAAGATACTCGATGTGTTCAAAAGAACTAGCTGCCTGATAGAACAGAGTCCGAGTCTGTATGGCCTTGGGCAAGTCACCTCACATGCCCGAACCTTGGTTTCCCCGACCGAAGAGGACTTTGTTCTAGAAGTTCCGTTGGTAGTAAAGGGATTGCCATGTTCACACTCCTAGCCCGGCGTGGTCACTGCAGCGGGAGGTTCCACCTTCAGTTCTGCCATGAGGGAGTGCCCGCGGCTCATTCGCTCAGTGTCGCCGTGTGGCAGGCATCGGGGAGGGGCAGGGGCACTGCCTTCATGAAACTTACCTTCTCTTCCAGAAGGGAGACGTTAAACAGCGGACAAATACAGGTTACACATGATACAGTGATGTCTGTAACGGACATCGGGTGGTGCTGTGGGGATTCACACACACAGTGGTGGAGGGGAGGACCTCAGTGTTTGATGAGGTGAAGCGGGGACACGGGAAGGAGTGTTCCTGCCCGAGGGAACAGAGATGCCCCCTGGGGAGCAGCACGGAGGCCGGTGTGGCTGGAGAGGAGCATGCTGGGGGAGGGAGTAGCCGACGGTCCCGGGAGCCTTGTGGTTCCTCAGGTGGACTGTGGACTCTTTTCTAAGTGGGATGTGAAACTCTCGTGTGGTTTCAGGGCAGGATGTGACCTGGTTTGTGATTTGAGAAGCCCTTGAGTAGAAGTGGTATTCAGTTGTCCAGATGTGAGGTGACAGAGGCTGGGCCAGAGCCATGGCAGAGGAGTGGTGAGAAGAATTGGGTTCTGGCTGTATTTTGGAGGAAGGGCTGACATCATTTGCTGGCAGATCGGGTGTGGGGTGCATGGCAAAGAAAGACAAGTTAAGAAGGGCTACGAGGTTTCAGTTGGAACAGCAGTGGTGCCCTTGACTGAGGTGGGGAATGCAGGGGTGCATTGGGGTCAGGGAGAAGCAGGTGTGTGATTTTGCCTATACTATTAGGTATTTATTACTTTTAAAAATCAACTTGAAATCAATTTTTTAAAAAAAACTTAGATATGTCTTGAGCTATCTATACAATCCCAGGGGCCAGCTATATATTTTTCTAATGTCTATGAAAATCTGTATCCATTCAAATAAAAACACCTGTTAGGCCTTCACCTACAGCCATCTCCTATGCCGGCAGAATTCGGTCCAGCTGCTCTAGCCCAGTGAGTGCTCCACCGCTATTAGTGGCCCCTTTAAGAGTGTGTTAGGACTGTATTTGTGATGAAAACATAGAGGACCTTTGATGAAAACCCTGGTGAGAGAGATGGAGGCGCTAGAATGGAGTTGGTCCCAGAGGATCGGGAGGGAAAAGGGGGTCATTCAGAACGATGGAGTGTGAAGCTTTCCGGACAGAAAGCACCGCCGCCCCCGCCCCGAGCCATCTTCCCGGGGACATTATTCTCCCTCTCTGAGCTTCCTCTTCGCCTCTAAGGAATTCGGGTGCTTTCACCACAAAAACACTCGGCCTTTTCATACTATAATTTGATATTCAAGCTGTGGCCTGAACTCGGAGCTGTGCTTTAACCACGAATGCTGCCTAGGAGTTGGAGATGTCTCTGTGAGGATTGAAGTGGATTTTTTAAATTTATTTTTTTATTGATTAATTTGAGAGAGAGAGAGAAAATTTGATTTGTTGTTCCACCAATTTTTGCATCCATTGGTTGGTTGATTATTGCATGTGCCCCGACCAGGGATCGAACCCACAACCTTGGCATATCAGGATGACACTAACCAACTGAGCCACCTGGCCAGGGCTATAATGGACTGTTTTTATGTCTATTACGTATGACATGAGGAACTAATTTGTACATCTATTTATACAGGGCATTTATAATGCCCTTAATAGGTTATCTACAATTGGATCACTGTAGAATCTTTTCATACCAAAATATGGATGTTGGAAACTCCTGTTTACACAATCAAGTTAGAATTAGGATGAAAAAAAAACATATATATATTTTTTATTGATTTTTTTACAGAGAGGAAGAGAGAGGGATAGAGAGCTAGAAACATAGATGAGAGAGAATCATCGATCAGCTGCCTCCTACGCACCCCCTACTGGGGATGTGCCCACAACCAAGGTACATGCCCTTGACCGGAATTGAACCCGGGACCCTTCAGTCTGCAGGCCGACGCTCTATCCACTGAGCCAAACCGGTTTCGGCAGAATTAGGATTTTTGAGACAACGTTCTTTCTTACCACACTTCCTGTTACATCTCTTGTGGGAAATTAATTTGTTAACCATCCAAGAGTTAACGTGGCCTGTGCTTGTTGTGGCGTTTACTTGGCACCGTGACGAGGCTGTGTGAGCGTGAGATGCCCCCTTCTCAGCTTCCCAGTGACTCACGGCTCCCACGCCAGGTGCAGAAGCGCCACTTGCTGTTGGTGCTGGCAGGCCTGGCATTTGGGGCGTGGGAGAAAGCATGCATCCGTGTGTGTGTGGGGGCGGAGGGTGGGTGGTTTGTGTGAATAGAAAATCATGACCTTTCCGAAAATTGTTCAGAAATACGGAGAAGGGAAGCAGAGACATGGGAGCGTGGTGGGCCGTGGCAGAGACAGCCCTGGCTGCGTGGTGTGGAGAGGCCCGTGGAGGCGGACAGAGGGGGGAGGACATGACCACAGCCCCCGGCCACCGCGGTGGTGACCGGGCCGCTGAGCTCAGGACACGTGCTCTCCCACCCCTACGTGGGTAGAACCGGTCGTTCTCCGGCCAGTGGTCACGGAATATTTGGGGTGCCGGGGAGACTGCACCCTAAGGAAGGAGTGCTCACACATGTCTGAGAAGTTGCCCGTATGTCATTGGATCTAAGATGTCATTAATTGTGAGGACACGTCATTGTTATACCTAGAAAGAAAACACACTGCTAAATAACACCAACTTCAGAGTTCAATCCTAAATGTTAAAAATATATGTATTTGACCCAGCCAGTGTGGCTCAGTGGTTGAGCATCCATCTATGAACCACCAGGACACAGTTCGATTCCCCGTCAGAGCACATGCCTGGGTTACGGGCTCAATCCCCAGTGTGGGGCATGCAGGAGGAAGCCAACCAACGATTCTCTCTTATCGTTGATGTTTCTATCTCTCCCCCTCTCCCTTTCTCTCGGAAATCAATAAAAAATTATTTTTAAAAAACGCTATATATTAAAAAGAAAGAAAGAAGAAAGAAAGAAAGAAAGAAAGAAAACATGTATTTGCATCAGTGAAATAAGGTAGCTAATCAGCAGCACCAGGCTAGCCCGTGAAAGTTGCTACGAAGCCCAGTGATGATGTGAGGTGCCCGAAATGCATGATGAGGCCACAGGGATGGATTTCTCAGGAAAGGGCGGGGGCCGTGGCCCTGGTCAGCATTTTCCCAGAGTCCAGGATACATCCGTTGCGGTGGGTTGGTGTAAAACTCATGGTTGCCTATTGAGGAGGCATATGCTTGTCAGTTCTCTTTAAACTCTGAAGATACCAAGAGAAAGACTTGATTTGCTCTTGGCATGTCCTTACACCTTTCTGTTTCTCGGTCATCTCTCCTCTCTGTTAACAGAGAGAACAGGGGGCAGGTAGCCGGCAATAGGTTCAGCTAGCGTTTAACAGCTTTGTTTTGTTTTCATTTTTTTATTATTTTCAAGATATGGTCAGTAACACTGGTTTTCCACTTAAAATCCTGAAAAAGTTTACATTCTAAATGAAGTCATTAGAGTAAGAGGAAATGGCAGTTTAAAGAAAAAATAGGGTGCTCGCTTCGGCAGCACATATACTAAAGAAAAATAGAAGTGGATAATTTCTTGAAGATGTTGAAGTTTGGGAAACACGGGCCTCTGGGTTCCAGCAGGGCCTTTGCGGGTGGATAGGGCCTGGGAAGACAGAAAGGAGGGAGGAGGGCGGCCTTGCCTCAACATGGATACTTCTGAACATGCTCTTTGGGTAATTTTTATTTTTTTTTAATATGTTTTTTTATTGACTTTAGAGAGGAAGGGAGAGGGATAGCGCGATAGAAACATCAGTTGGCTGCCTTCTGCATGCCTCCGCACGGGGGATGGGGCCTGCACCCCGGGGATCGGGGATCGGGGATCGGGCCTGCCCCCCAGGCAGGTGCCCTGACCGAGGCCAGTTGTTGCTAGAGGTCTGGGGAGGGCACGGCAGGCTGCCAAGGGGCAAGACCAGGGAGTGTTTGGGATCATGAGGCTGTTCTGTGTCTCACTGTGGTGGCGGTCACAGAAATCTCAGCGCATGTTAAATTCACAGACCTGTGCATCCAAAACAGTCCATCTTACCGTATGTCAGTTTAAAAATAAAAGCCAACTCCCACACTCTCTAGAAGCAGCTCCAGCGGGCAAGGCTCAGAATTGAAGCACCAGAATAAATGCAGCGTTAAAGCAATTAAAATGGAATGAAAAGCGTGAAAGCCATAAAGTCACTTCCTGTCAATATGTAAATACACATAAGATGAAACTTGCCACAAAAGCTAACCACGGGTTTTTTATACGTTTGATTGCCAAAGCCTGTTGAAGTAGCTTTCACATCCTTTTTTGAAGATTCACTGTTCACTTGTAAGAAGTTGTGCACAGTGCTTGTGCTTGTTTAAAATTTCAGTAAAGCCTCGGTCCCACTTTAAAATACATATATATTTCTTACTGATTTCAGAGAGGAGGGGAGAGAGAACTAGAAACATCAGTGATGAGAGAGAATCATTGATTGGCTGTCTCCTGCACGCCTCACATTGGGGATCGAGCCTGCAACCCAATGACCTCCAGGTTCTTGGGGCAATGTCAACCACTGAGCCACACTGGCCGGGCTCTTTTGTTTTCCTTGCAATTGAGCTTGGATTCTCTCACTTGTTTTCGTTAGCTCCGGGTCAGCACAGCGGTCCCGGGAATGCCCTTGGGAAGAGGCACAGTTCTCAGGTGGGGGTCGAGAGGGGGCCCATGCTGGGGCCTGGCATGATCCACTACCTCAGTGAAAGCCTCCGGACGTGGGAGTCATTTCTGGGGCTTAAAAAAAATGTAGGTGCTCAGAGTGCCCCCTAAGGAGATTTAGGAAATTCAAAATCTGTGTTTGGGCTGGGTGTGTGTATGGGGGGGTGGGGGGCTCGCGCGCGTGATGCATGTGAAGCACTGAGCAGCCTGGTGTGAGATCAGCGGGCTAGAATGTGTGTGTGTGTGTGTGTGTGTGTGTGTGTACACGTGCATGTGAAGCATTGAGCAGCTAGGTTTTGAGATCAATGGGCTAGAATGTGTGTGTGTGTGTGTGTGTGTGTGTGTGTGTGTGTGTGTGGAAACACGTGCATGTGAAGCATTGAGCAGCCTGGCTTGAGATCAGCGACCTAGATGGGAGTCAGACACAGGCAGGCAGGAGCAGGGGAGACGGGTGGAAGGAATACAGAAGAAGGCTGTCAGTCAGGCGTGGGAGGGTCTTTCTGAAGGAAGACTTCCTGGAGGTGGTGACTCCTGCGTCAGAGCCCCAAAGGATGTGGAGAGCTGCTCGACAAGGACAAGAAGGATGTCCACGTGGAAGGAAAGAGTGGGGATGCGTGGACATTTGGCACCGGTGGGGAAGGCTGGCAGGGAGCAGATGGGGGAGGAGTGGGACCAGGGAGCAGAGGCCCCGATGCCAGGGATAGGGGCTGTGCCTGAGGCTGGCGGGTAAGTCAGTTTCGCAGTGGCCCGGGAGGAGCTGCCTGTGTGCAGGTGCTCTGGGCCCTCCGGGTCTGGGGTCGGCTCTGCAGTTTCACCCAGTGCCCAGGGCATTGGAGTCAGAGCCGCTGAAGCATCTTCCACCGGGAATGTGCTCCCTTGTGTGTCTCATTCGTGCTTCGTTCGGCACATAGCTCACACCTGCAGCCCACCGCTGAGCCGTGCATCGGGAGCGCCGTGCTTGTTCGGGGAATGGGGTGGGGGCCAGCCGTAAAGATGCCCGCCCTCCGCAGGAGTCTGTTCCCCGGGGGGGGGCCGTTATTTTCCAGAAGGAGGTAGAGGCCTCTCGGCAGCGGGGATCGGGCCTGCGGGGCTTTCGTTGGGGAAGAAAAAGGTGAGGTGGGGTCCGCCCTGGAGAAGGTCACACTTCACAACTTCCTGGTGTCCCTCCCAGGAGCAGCAGCCAAGCTGGACAGACGACCTGCCGCTCTGCCACCTCTCCGGGGTGGGCTCGGCCTCCAACCGAAGCTACTCGGCTGATGGCAAGGGCACCGAGAGCCACCCGCCCGAGGACAACTGGCTCAAGTTCAGGTGAGGGTGCGGGTGCTCCCCTGGGCGCGGCAGACCCTCTGCAGGTGTCTGCTTGGCGACTGTCTTGCATGGGGCTTGCCAGTGAGATGGGCCCATGGAGGTGGCGTGTGCCACTGTCCCTGCCACCTCTGACCTTAGACCGGCCTCTGTTTGCGACAAGCGGGTGGGGAGCATCCCTGAAGGTCATGGCCTGAGTAAAATGATGGTCAAGCCGAAACCGTTCTTGGCTCATGGGTAGAGCGTCGGCCTGCGGGCTGGAAGGTCCCAGGTTCGATTCCCGTCAAGGGCTTGTACTGTGGTTGCAGGCACGTCCCCGGCGGGAGGTGTGCAGGAGGCAGCTGGCCGATGCTTCTCTCTCATCGACGTTTCTATAATAGTTCTCTATCTCTCTCACTTCCTCTCTGTAAAAAAAATCAGTAAAATATATTTTTAAAAAAATGATGGTCAACGACGTGGGGGACCTCCGTGGGCACCTGGAGCCACAGCTGCTGTCTCTTTGGTCCCGCCCAGTGTTTGCCCCTCCTCCCCCTCCGCGCTGGAACTGGCGTTCCTCCGTGAGCCCCGGTTTCCCCCGCCCCTCGCCTCTCTGTCCCAGGAGTGAGAACAACTGCTTCCTGTACGGGGTCTTCAACGGCTACGACGGCAACCGGGTGACCAGCTTCGTGGCCCAGCGCCTGTCCGCCGAGCTCCTGCTGGGCCAGCTCAGCGCCGAGCACACGGAGGCCGACGTGCGCCGCGTGCTGCTGCAGGTACGAGCCGGCGCCGGCCGGGTCTGTGGTGTGTGTGTGTGTGTGTGTGTGTGTGTCCCGAGCGGGGCCGTGCGCGGTGCGGTGTGGCCTCCTGCCGCTCCTCCTGCGGGGGGCCGCCCCGGAGCCTCTCCCGGCGGCAGGGGCTCCATGTTTCGGGGAGTCCGGGAGCAGACAGCCATCAGGGTCCTTGCCCACAGCTGGCAGGGTTGGCTCCGGAATAGATCATCTTGGGGAACGGGAAGTAGGGGTGGGACTTTGGGCGAAGGGGTGCAGTGGGGGGCGTGATTTAGGGTAAGGTGGAAGCGGGACGGGTCTGATTTCTAACAATTTGTCCTGCGTCCCGCGGCGTTTTAAAAACGTCCCGATTTTTTTTCAAAACGCCGCGGGACAAATTGTTAAAAATCGGGACGTCTGGTCATCTTCTTTAGGGAGGATGCTTGCCTTCAGGCGTGGCTCAGGTGCTCAGCCTCCAGTCCCTGCCAGCGGCCTGGGCCTCGCCCCCTCCCTTCCGGCTGCTTGGGGCTCCCTCCAGCCCTGCAGTGCTTCTGGCTGCTGCTTGGGAGATTGCTTCCCGGCACCTCCTTTTGGAAGCACATCTGGAGGCAGTTAGTGTGGATGCGGAGGATGGCTTCCTGTTCCTCGAAAACAGCGTTCTCAGCCCTTTCCCTGTCTCAGCACCTGAGGCCCAGAGCGCCCTCCAGCCTCGGGGCCTGTGCTGGTGGCTCTGGCTGCACCCAGGAGGGGCAGCAGCATGCCGGCGTTCAGGGCCAGCAGGATGCGGTCATGACACCGGTCATGACAACATGGACGTGCTCTGAGCCAGGTCCGAGGGCTCAGTCACTCAGAACAACTCTTATCTCTGTCAAGGAGACCGAGGAGTCCACTCCCAGGTGGCCTGATGCCAGCCACGCCCATGCCCTTAACCTCCATCTTCAGCCTCAGCCTCTGTCACTGCACCCATGGCGGCCTGCACTCTGTACAGTTTGTCACTCTAGTCCGGGACGTGGCACATCAGCTGGCGGTGGTGTTTGGAACCAGCCGTTGCCCTGACACTGGCCCTGTCCTCTCTGTGCCTCTAGGCCTTCGACGTGGTGGAGAGGAGCTTCCTGGAGTCCATCGACGATGCTCTGGCCGAGAAGGCGAGCCTGCAGTCCCAGCTGCCAGAGGTACTGCCCTCGCCGCCCCCGAGAAGGGGCCCGCCAGGCTGGCTCTGCCAGGAGCACCGATTCACCTGCCACCTCACGCCCAAGCCATTGACACCGCTGGGCCAGAGCAGCACGAGTTAGGGGACAGTTCCTGCTTGGGGGGGAATGGGGGTCAATGGGTGGACCCTCCCAGGGCCTCCTGGGTTGCTGTGGGCAGCTTTCCTCAAGCTGGGCATGGAGCGGACAGTGAGGGTCAGTCCTCGACTGGAGTCTGCCCGTAACCTACCACGTGTATCAGCCACGGCACTCAGAGCCGGCAGGACAGTGAGGTGACCTCCGGCCTTCCTAGAGAAGCCCGCCTGGAAGTGCAGCTTCTGTCCCCGCGGGCCTCCAGCCCCCGCTCTTTAGGGGGGAGGGGGAGGCGGTCTCTGAGGACCCGGCCTGCTCTGACCCCTCATGGTGGCTTGCAGGGGGTCCCCCAGCACCAGCTGCCTCCTCAGTATCAGAAGATCCTCGAAAGACTCAAGGTGCTGGAGAGGGAGATTTCCGGAGGAGCCATGGCGGTCGTGGCTGTCCTTCTCAACAACAAGCTCTACGTCGCCAACGTCGGTGAGCCACCTGCTGTCCCTGGGGAGGGGAGGGGAGGCCGGCCTGGGGGCTGCCGTCTTCGGGCAGCTGCTTTCCAGACACGTGGGGTCTCCAGCCCGTCTGCCGAGGCCATTGGGTGGGCTTCCCTGTTACTCTGAGTGTTTCTTCTCGCCCGGCCGGTATGGCTCAGTGGTTGAGTGTCAGCCCATGAGCCAAGAGGCCACTGGTTCGATTCCCAGTCACATGCCCGGGTTGTGGATTTGATCTGCAGTAGGGGTGTACAGGAGGCAACGGATCGGTGTTTCTCTCTCATTGATGTTTCTCTCTCATCAGTGTTCCTAACTCTCTCTCCCTCTCCCTTCCTCTTTCTAAAATCAATAAAAACATATTTAAAAAAATTGATTTGGGTTATCTTCCAAAAAAGAAGAGGGTCTCAGTCCCAGTGAATGGTGTTGGCAGTAGCAGCGGGAAGCGGGCGGCCCAGCTTTCGTCGCCATGTTGTCCCTAACGTGGCCTTGGGGAGTCGAGTCCCTGTCTGGGCACCTCAGTGGCTTCCTCTTCCGGAGGGTGGCGAGGAGGGCTGGGGGTGGGCTCGAGGGTGCGGGGTCTCAGGGACGCTGTGTAGGGTTTGTGGGCAAAGAAGTGGCCATCTGGGACCCTGAGAAGGGCACTCCCCAGGGTGCCGATTACTGTCAGGGCGCGAGGAGACCCCACTGACAATGTCCCTCTTCTCTTCCCCGTTTCCTTAAGATTTCATTAACTTAGAAATGTAAAAAAACAGAGTGGCTAGCACTTAATGAGCCCCTGTGCCTGTCCCCAGCCCGGAGTCCCCTCACGGCCAGTCTCATTTCATGCAGCCCTCGGTCCCTGCGTGTTTGTGAAGCAGACACCAGACATCGTGGCCTGGTATCTGTAAATATGTCAGTGTATCTCCCTAGACTAAAGCCCCCTTATTAAAGCCATAATCATCATCATGCTAGGATGGAAAAGTTTAACCTAATTCCTTAATATTGTCAGCTCTTATGACTGCTGGCTCACCCAGGGGTCTGAGCCCATTTTCTTTGCTTGTTTCAAGGATTTCCATTCTCTCTCTCTCTCTCTCTCTCTCTCTCTCTCTCTCTCTCTCTCCCCCCTCTTTTTCTCTCTCCCTCTCTAACGTGGCCCTTTCCTCCCTGTGCTCAGTCTGTTCAGCTGCTCAAATTCTGCTGCAGGTACGAACCGCGCACTGCTGTGCAAATCCACGGCGGACGGGCTGCAGGTGACACAGCTGAACGTGGACCACACCACGGAGAACGAGGATGAGCTCTTCCGCCTCTCCCAGCTGGGTGCGTGGGGACGTGGCCGCCGGCCAGTGTTGGGAGGGCAGCCTCGTGGCTCACCCTTGCCCTCTGCGGTGGTCATGTGGCGGGTAGATGGGCTGTGACCAGCCTGCCCAGCTCTGTTGCTAACTAGTTGGTGATGGTTGGAACTTACTCATTTTCCGTGCCTCAGATTCCCCATCTGTGTAATGAGATGATAGGCACACCTGCCTCGGGGTGTGGTGGGATTGAGAGGAACGCATGTAAAATGCTTCCCAGCGCACCTGGCATACGTTCTCTGTTATTGGTGGAGACGGAGGCCACAGCAGTCCTGAGGCCCAGGACTCCCTCTCCCAGGCAGCGGTGCTGGGTGTGCTGGGCTGTGAGGAAGCGTCCCAGTGAGGGGTGTTCTGATGGAGATGGGGACTGAGGACACGGGGGCTACTGGATTAGCCGCTCTCCAGGGCGCCTGGTGTGACTATTTCCTGCTCCCCGGGTGTGTCCGTCCCCTTTCTGTTCCTCGTTATGAACAGTCTGGCTTGTGGTGTTCCCCCCCCTGGTAGGTCTGGACGCAGGAAAGATCAAGCAAGTGGGGATCATCTGTGGGCAGGAGAGCACCAGGCGCATTGGAGATTACAAGGTCAAATATGGCTACACTGACATCGACCTGCTCAGGTAGGTGGCCAGCCGCTGTGGGAGCAGAGGTGCAGCTGCAGTAGCTCAGAGCCCAAGGACACTCTTGCTCCCAGAGGCTGGTGTGAGGTCAGGGGCCAGAGTCTTGTAGAACCAAGCTGGCAAAGGGTCAAAGCAGAGTGCAGCTGCAGTAGCTCAGAGCCCAAGGACACTCTTGCTCCCAGAGGCTGGTGTGAGGTCAGGGGCCAGAGTCTTGTAGAGCCAAGCTGGCAAAGGGTCAAAGCAGAGTGCAGCTGCAGTAGCTCAGAGCCCAAGGACACTCTTCCTCCCAGAGGCTGGTGTGAGGTCAGGGGTCAGAGTCTTGTAGAGCCAAGCTGGCAAAGGGTCAAAGCAGAGTGCAGCTGCAGTAGCTCAGAGCCCAAGGACACTCTTCCTCCCAGAGGCTGGTGTGAGGTCAGGGGTCAGAGTCTTGTAGAGCTAGGCTGGCAAAGGGTCAAAGCCAAGGGCAGCAACTAGTGCCATAGGGCTCGCAGGAGAGGCCAAGGTTAGCCTGAGGTGCGTAGGGACAGACCAGTGGCCTTGTTGGTCAGGGCTATTTCTGGCCAGGGCCAGGGCAGACGTGTGAGATGAGTTGTACATTTCCCTCCAAGGATATTTCGCTTCCGGCTGCCACCCAGTGATCATAGCAGCAAATGGGCACAGCTCTGTACGTATTCTCTTATTCGGTCCCCGCTCCGGTCCTTGGAGGGCGGTACTGTTGTTACCCGAGGCATTTTCATGAGGAAGCTGACCGGGGCCAGGAGGTAGCTTCTCTGCTCATGGGGCTAGCCGTGGGCAGAGGCAGGTCTTGAACCCAGGCAGCCTGCATTCTGAGCACATTGATTGGAAAAACGGGCATGTGTATGGTCACGGCATTCAATGTCACAATCGGAGCCCTGGAGGAATCATGCCCAAGACCCAGCATCAGGAGCAAGAGTTAGAACTCCCTCCTCCCACAGGATTTAGGCCATCGAGTCTGGAACCTTTTGTCTCTAATTGGTAGGGTTCTGCTGTTTTGTTGAAAAGTACAGATGTGGTTTCAGACAGTTCAAACAGTGCCAAAGACACACTGTGCAGAGTGCGTTTTTCTCCTTCTCCCCGGAAGCTGCTGTTTCCTGTGTGCCCTGCCCAGAGTTCCTGCATGCACGTGTGTGTGTGTGTGTGTGTGTGTGTGTGTGTGTGTGTGTGTGTGTTTGGTGGGAGCGGGCATCCTTTTCAAAACATGCACAAAATGCTAGCGCACCCTTTCCAGCATTCTGCACACTTAGCATTGAGGCTGTGTGCTCCTGGTAATAGCTGCTGGAACTCTGTGCTGTGTCAGCGCTCGCCACTGGCCTCCATGGAAGGACCCTCGGGGTGTTTCCAGACTCCGCTCCTCCAGATCCTGTTGCCAGAACACCACCTAGTTGCTTGTGTGCAAGCACTCTCGGGCCCTGCTGGTCCATAGTGCGTCAGAGATGACTGTGTGTGTAGAGTGTTGGTGAGGTCTGAGTCGCCTGGCACTTGCTTTGGGGGAGCCCAGGAGGAGTGGGCTTTCAAAAGAGAACCCCACCCTCCCACTGTCCACCCTGCCCCTGGCCCTGCCCGGCTCTGTGGGTGGGGCTGCAGAGTGGGGCTGGGATTGGGCGCCCCGAGCCCAGCCGCCTGCAGCTTTCTGGCCCTCAGAACTTGGTTTTCATAGCTGCGCTCAGAGACAGGTCTGTTTTTCTGGTTTTCCTTTTTTCTCTTCTTGCCAGATGTGTGTTTTATGTTACATTCTGGGGTAGATTCTTCCCCTTAGCAAAATAAATGCCCCGAGGGGGCCATTCCGAGCACAGCTGCCCCTCTGCTCTCTCCCCCAGCGCTGCCAAGTCCAAGCCCATCATCGCGGAGCCCGAAATCCACGGCGCGCAGCCCCTGGACGGGGTGACGGGCTTCCTGGTGCTGATGTCCGAGGGGCTGTACAAGGCCCTGGAGGCGGCCCACGGGCCTGGGCAGGCCAACCAGGTGAGCTGGGCCTCAGCAGAGCACGGCTGGCCGGCCTGCAGGCGGCACGCTCCCCTGGGGACCTGGCCAGCCCTCCTGCTCGGCACCCCGGTGCTCGGGGCCCAGAGCTCTGATTCTCAAGTGCCATTGCCGGGCGACTTCTCCGGGCTCAGACCTGGGGAAGCAAAAGACACCCAAGGACACCCATCCCTCCCAAACCCTTCCTCGATTTGGGCTCGAAGCAGCCCCAGAGCCCTGAGCAAAGCCTGAAGGGAAGTGGGCGAGATGGACGTGAATTGCTTTGGAGAATGAGCGGGAAAGGGCCTGGGCCGCGGAGGAGAGCGGGAAGTGCGGCCTTGCGCACAGAGCCATGGCCAAGGAGTCGAGCAGCCATGTCCGCGTCCGCGCCCCTCCCCGTCCTCTCCGAGCTGCGGGCGATTCACGGTCCGTTCTCATGTCTGAGACGGGAGGACAGCACCAGCCCTGTGGGGTTGTGGAAAGCAGTCGCTGCCTCTGCCTGACCTTGGGTGGCGGGGCTGGTCAGATAAGTTCGTGTTTCTCCTTCCATCTGTGAGTCTCGTAGGAAGGTAACTTCTCTGCTTTTTTTCCTTCCTTTTCTTATTATTATTTTTAGAAAAGCAAGAATTTATTGAGTGCAGCAAAAATATATATTTAGGTGGGACTGCTTTGGTTCACGGGGAGGGCAGAGAAAAGGGGGCCGTGGAGACAGGTTCAGGGGGTCGGCCCGGGATGAGCTGCCGCTGCTCCCCTGGTTGCCAGTCTCCGGGGCCCCTTAAAGGTTAGGGGATACGTGCCTGTGGGGGGCGGGGAGCGGGAAGGGAAGGGCATGGGGGTCCCTGGAGGGAGACTTCCTGCCTTGTCCTTTCTAATTAAAAATATGAGGGCAGCCGAAACCGGTTTGGCTCAATGGATAGAGCGTCAGCTTGGGGACTGAAGGGTCCCGGGTTCGATTCCCGTCAAGGGCATGTACCTTGGTTGCGGGCATATCCCCAGTAGGGGCTGTGCAAGAGGCAGCTGATTGATGACTCTCTCTCATCGGTGTTTCTAACTCTCTATCTCTCTCCCTTCCTCTCTGTACAAAATCAATAAAATATATTTTTTTAAAAATATGAGGGCAAGTCTTGTATGCCGCCCTCTCTCCTGGTGCCTGTGTTCAAGGTTTCTCATCTTTTATCTTATTCCTCTAGCAGCCCGTACCGGGCAGCAGCTCCCCATCACTTCCCTCAGGGAGCTGGGGTGCGGAGCTCAGGGTCTCGCCTGAGGTGACCTAGGAGGTCAGCGAGGGAGCTGAGCCCAGCCGACTGGCCCAGGTCATTTCCTGTTGCCCGCCTCTGCCCCCTACCTCCAAGAGACTGGCCAGCCAGCATGGAGAGGATTTTGTGGTTTTGATCTTACCATCAATGTGATTTTTTTTTCTTTCTTTTCTTTGGTCTTCAAGATAGAATTGTCCAGTGGCCCCTTACTGAGTTCTAGGATACACTGGTCAGTGGACTTCCCTGCCTTCATTCTGCATCCCCATTTTCTGACAAAATTGGCATAGCATAGCCTAAAATGAGTTTGTTCCAGGAAAAAAAAAAAAAAAAAAAAAAAAAAGCTTAATAATCACAATTGCTCCTCTGGTTGCAAGTCTCCTGGGTCCCTTAGGGGATATGTGCCTAGTGTGGTGGGCACGTATTTATGCAGGGCTTTCTAGCAATCCCCACAGTGCCCTCTCATCCATTATGTTACTTCCTCCTCGTAGTAACGCAGTGAGGTGGATATTCTCCCTGACAGATCACAAGGCCACACCTTTTCTCATGAGAAAGTCCCGGAAGGATTATCCTGAATCCCTTGAAAAGCTCAGATTGCAGGTGTGGCTGGCGGGGACTTCCTTCACCTGCTTTACCGGTGACCCCTGAGTATTCTGGTGAGGCCCTGGAGTCACGGCCCACAGTCCCCGGGCCCCCGTTCCTCACCAGGTCTCCGCCCCTCCTTCCCAGGAAATCGCCGCTATGATCGACACCGAGTTCGCCAAGCAGACCTCCCTGGACGCGGTGGCCCAGGCCGTGGTGGACCGGGTGAAGCGGATCCACGGGGACACCTTCGCCAGTGGCGGCGAGCGTGCCAAGTTCTGCCCGAGGCACGAGGACATGACTCTGCTGGTGAGGAACTTCGGCTACCCGCTGGGCGAGATGAGCCAGCCCGCAGCATCCCCGGCTCCAGGTGAGGGCGCTGCGGGCAGGAAGCCACCTCCGAGGCCGTGGGCGGGGTGGGCTGCAGAGAGGCTGAGGGACAGGCCTCGCTCCAGGAGCACAGCAGGCAGAGGGGAGGCCTGGCTGTGAGCAGCTTTCATCCGGGCCTCTGAGCTGCCTTTGATTGGTTTCCTTTTTGCCTGTGACCTCCTAATGACCCGAGAGCAGAGAGCTTCAGAGACACCAGGCCACGTGATAGGGACGATGGCTCCCCACCTGAAGGCCTGCTCTGCGCCTGGCACTTGACCCCAATGTTTCCTATAGTCCTCATTGTCAGCCCTCAAGGAGATAGCACCCCCTTTACAGAAAGGGAAACTGAGGCTCTGGGAGGAAGAGACTTAGGGGAGGCGAGGCATGTGGACAGAAGGTCCCGAAGCCTGGCTCCGTTTCTGGGCCATGTTTGGGGGAGAGTAACGCACTTTCTGCACCTCCTCCCGCGCTGCTCAGGGTGCAGACGGACGGCTCCTGGGCTGCACTTTTCCTTCGTTTTTCAAACAAGCTTAGCGCTCAGGCATGCTCAGATGCATTTGCTCTCCAGAGGACAGGGTTACTGGAGTTTCTTTAGCTTGCTGTTATTGCAACCATGTTTTTGTTGGGCCAGCCTCAACTGGGAGCACGCTTATCCCCTCAGATTAGAGCATCGTTGCGGGAGGCCAGGCAGTAACCCTTTCATCAAGCAGCTCAGCACTTGATCCTCCTCTGCTTTGAGCACAGGAGCTGCTGAGTACCAGCCCCCACCTGGCCGGCAGGCTTTGCCCCTGGACTCCCCTTCTCTGTCCCGAGGGGCAGAGGGCCAAGCTGCAGCTCAGGGAGCTGGGCCGGTCGCCACCTTCTCCTCTCAGCCCTCAGACACCACTCCGTCAGGTCCTGGGTGGCCCTGTGCCCACCTCTCAGCGCTCCCTGAGGCCCACCTCTCTCCCCCTTCCACAGCCGCAGGAGGACGTGTGTACCCCGTATCCGTGCCTTACTCTAGCGCCCAGAGCACCAGCAAGACCAGCGTGACCCTCTCCCTCGTCATGCCCTCGCAGGGCCAGCTGGTCAATGGGGCCCACAGCGCTTCCACCCTGGACGAAGCCACTCCCACCCTCACCAAGTAAGCCCTCACCCTCACAGCTCTCAGGCCTGCCTCCGGGGGGTCAGCCCTGGGTCTCTGACAGGAATGCAGGGGCCAGATCCTAGCAGTGGTCCTGGGTGCGATGCCCGGGGGGGCTTGCACTTCTCACAGGCCCGCCTCCCTTCCTGGGAGTTGTTTTTAGGCGCTGAGGTCCGAGAGGCAGCGCTGCAGGTTCCAGCCCCTCACTGAAGTGGGACCTGGGAGGGGGCCGAAGGGACAGGGAACTGAAGTTGACAGCCTGCTGCTCAATGCTTCCTGTGGGTCCGTGTCCGAGTTTTCATTGAACGGGAAGGTCCTCTTGGCCTCTTCTGGGCCCTGAAGGGTGGGAGGTAGGGTGGCATTTGGGAGGTAGGGTGGCATCGCGCTTGGGCCCGTGTGTGGCTGGCACTGGCTCCTCAGAGCCTCGGACTGAAATGTCTGCGTAGCTTTGAAGGGAGTTCTCTAGTCTGCGGGGGGAGGGGCAGAGGCTGCAGGAGGTCTGGAGCCTGAGGAGGGTGGGCAGGCCACCTCCTTACTGCAGACCTGCCATAGGTCTGGTGTCCACCCCACCCCCTCACTTCTGTGGAATGCTTGCCCCCTCCCCTTGCGCCCACCAGGAGGCCGGGTCTGGTTTCCACATTCCGCGGGCTCCGAATAATAGAGCTGCCACACCCAGCGCTCAGAGGAAGTGGCCAATGGGAAGGGCCAGCAGGAAGGGAGTGGCGCTGCTTCCTTCGGCCTAGAGGGGGCCTTCCCCTCCCCCTGCCCCCAAGCTGCTGCCGCTGCCCACAGAGGCTAGGGGGGCCCTGGCCAGCAGCCAGTGATGGGCATCCTGAGTGCAGATGGAGGGAGAGGAAGCCACTAGCTGTGCCCACCAAGGCAGATCGTGGCAGCAGAGGTCCCAGGTCAGGCAGGAGAACCAGCTGTCCTGCACCCTAACTCCCTGCGGGCTCCGAAACAGCCCCTTCCCTCCTTTTTGCATCCGAGCATTCGGTGGGCCCCACCCTGGGCCGGCCTGGTGCTGGGTGCTGGGCAGAGCTAAGGATTTGCAAGACGGTGGTGGGCCAGCAGGTGACTTCCAGCGGTTACATGCTCTGTGACAGAGGGTGGGTGCCCGGGAGTTCTGAGGACGTGGGGTCCCGTCTCCCCGCTGTGTGAAGGGGAAGACAGGGAGGGAGGAAGGGGGCTTTCTGGGAGAAAAGTCCTTGCTGGCCCTTGGGTTTCGGGGTTTGGGTCAGGGTGGATCCGGAGAGAGTGGAGTGCGTGACCTCCAGCTCATTGCCCTGCGCAGTGGCCACAGCCAGGCGTGGTCACTGAGCACTGGAACGGGGCGGCCCGTTTAGTTCTAGTTCATTGAAAAAGCCACTTGCAGTCAGAGCTTGGAAAGCCCATTTGCCTTTCCGTCTCCCAGAGACCACGCGGTCGGCTGGCTCTTGGGCCACCGCTGTCCGAGGCCTCTGTCCCGGCCGGGAGCCCCGGCCGCTGACTGACTGTTGTCCCTGCAGCCAGAGCCCGACCCTGACCCTGCAGTCCGCCCGCACGCACACTCAGAGCAGCAGCTCCAGCTCGGACGGGGGCCTCTTCCGCTCGCGGCCTGCCCACTCGCTGCCGCCCGGCGAGGACGGCCGAGTGGAGCCCTACGTGGACTTCGCCGAGTTCTACCGCCTCTGGAGCGTGGACCACGGCGAGCAGAGCGTGATGACGGCGCCGTAGCCTCGGCTCGGAGGGCAGCCTGAGCAGGACCTTCGTGAGGACCGGGGGGCCGCCGCTGGGCAGGAGGGGCCTTCCCCGCCAGCTGCCTGTGCCGTGGGGGCCAGCGGGAGCCAGTCTTCAGCCTGACCGTCCTCTGCCCCGGTGGACAGAGGCCCTCAGCGCGCCAGTGCCGACCGACCCCTCGGATGTGCCGCATCACTGCCCGGGGCCGGAGGCCACTCCCCAGGCAGCCTCCGCCTGGACCGCGGCATTTCTCAGAACAAGAGGTGCTGGTGCGGAAGCCGGGCTGGCTGGGAGCCCCCCTGGGGCAGGACGTGCCGAGGTTCTCCTGGGACCCCAGCAGCCACTGCTTTCTCAAGGCCACGCTTCCCGCCTCCCCCCCCCCCCCCCGGGAGAGCCTGTGGCGGGGACAGTGTCCCCCCCAGTGGCTGGTGGTCACCCCGTCCTTCTCCGGCTCCACAGTGAAGCCCGGGGAAGTCTGCGTCCTCGGAGCCGGCCCCATCCCTGCCCCCTCCCCGGCCCAGCCCGGCTGTGCTCCGCGTGAACGTTCAGGGAGACCTGGAGGGGCTGGGGGCCTGGGGTGGCTGCAGCGGGCAGGTCAGCGGGACAGGAACCGGAGGTAACTGGCCCTGGAGTCCTCCAAAGGGTAGGCGGGCTGGCGGGCGTCCCCAGAGACGGGGTGCGGGGAGCAGAGGTGCCTGGGCCCGGCGAGGACTGCGGCCTCGTGTCAGGCCCTCCAGGAGGGGAGGCCCAAACCCGGGGCGAGCGACTCCACTTGGCTCTTCCCTTCCTGGAGCTGGGAGGCCGGTGGAGAAGCCATGAAGACCAGCGGTCGTGACCACCAACCACGTCCCTGTGCTCCGCGGCGATGAACAGACGCATGGAGAGGGAGCGTGGGAAGTGGTTCTGAAAGGGAAGCGGGTCTGCGAGCGCTGCCCTGGGGAGGGAGGCCCAGTGGGCACGCTTTACAGGGGCGGGCGGGCCCAGGCCATCAGGCCCGAGGCGGACCCCTCGGTGCCCACTGCCCTCTGGGGAGGGGACTGCACTCCTGTGTCCACGGAGAAGCCCGGGGACCCACAACGTGCCCGTCACGTGTCTGCGGTGGAGCAGAAGTCAGGCCTGCCAGGCCCCGGGCCCGTGGATCCCGCCCCCCCAGCCCCGCGGCGCCTGGCACTGTCTGTGGCCTCCACGCACTTGGACTCAGAAAAGCCGAAGGCCGACTCAAGGCCCTGCTGGGTCTGTGGTCCCGGACTGTGGGTCCGAGGGAAGCAGAGGGGGTGCCTCTGGGCCGAGCGCCCACCCCACCACGAAGCCTCCTGTTCTCGGGCGGACGGTGTAACGTCAGTCACAGGCGGGGCGGGGCGCAGAGGGACTTCTCTTCCAGGAACATCTCGGCGATGCTGCTTGGTCTCTAGAAATAGAATCCCTTTGCCGCAGCGAGGAGGAATAAATGGCCGTGGTGGTCATGTGCTCGCTCGCTCTCCTGAATTCAGGTGGCCAGGGCGGGCGGGTGCCCCCTGTCCTCCAGCTCCCGGGCTGAGCGGCAGAGCTGAGCCGTGAGCCTGGCCTCCGCCTGGCCCAGGGCTGCCGCCCGCATGGCCGGGAGAGGGTGGCGGCTCTCCCTGCGGCAGTGGCTACTGTGGGCGCTGTTCCTGTGGGGAGGGGAGCGGCAGGCAGCAGGACAGGCGTGCTGGTGGGTGCTCAGGAGTTCTTTGCTTTATTTTGGTTTTGTTTGGGTGGAGGATGTTCTATAAATACCAGTCCATAAAGTGCCTCTTCCTGTTTTGGGAGACTTAGGAACTCAGCTCCACACAGCAGCGTCCGCAGCTAAAACTGAAACACTGCGCGGCCAGGGGACAAAGCCAAGCTTGGCGTTTGGGTGACGGGCGCCCAGACCCTTCCCGCCCTCCCCCCTCTGCTGGGAAGCAGTTCTGGGGGGGATAGGGGCTGCTGGCAGCCTCGGCCTTAGCCGTCCCCTGCGGGTCCTGACCACCTGAGTCTGTCCGCCTGGCACCCTGAGGGGGAGGCGGTGGGCGGGCCATGTCCCAGATGAGTGTCGGGGCGCAGCCAGGGGCACAGTCCCAGCTCGGAGGGCCCTGTCGAGTCCAGTGGGCCAAAGGACCGCTCCCACCTGCTTTGCCCCGGCCGTGCAGGGGTGGAGCACTGCCCTGGCTGTGTCCTGTCCCCCAAGCCTGCATCCTGAGTGAGGGCCAGAGGGCGCTGTGTCGGCCTCTGGGTTCCCTTTGGTGGAGTAAGGGGAGCTTAGTCTGCTCTGAGGTTTCAGAAGTGGCAAGGGTCAGGACCAAGGCGGCCAGGTGGAGCGGCCCTCGCGTGGGCTAGTCCGGCCCCCTCTGACGCTGACCCCGAGCCGGGAGCCAGCAGGGCTCTGCAGCCGTGCCCCCTCCCACGGCCAGGTCAGGCGGACCAGGCAGTGCCCCCACCACTGCTGTCTGTGCCCACTTGTCCCTGAGGACACCTGGCTCCCTCCCGGACAGGCTCAGTCTCAGGCCTGATTGAGGCCCCGGCCTGGATCCGGCCAGGGGGGCCAGGCCTTTGTCCGGGACGCTGGCCGCGCCAGGAGGGTGTGGATTCGGGGGCCATCTTCACCAGGGTTTGTGCTGGTGTCTCGGTCCTTGTCTGGGCCTCTGATTCTCACAACCCGGCCCTTGGTTTGTCCCTACCGCTGGCCCGCCAGGAGCCACTTGGCCGTTGTGACACTAAGCTCCAGGGAAAGGCTGGTTCCTTCCTGTCACTCAGAAAGGCCACCCTGTCCCACCCCAGCCTCACTGGCCCATCTCTGTTTAATCTGTTCCACAGAAACTCCTCATTTTTCTGTTTGTCTCTTAACTCTAAAATGTTCGCCCGCTCATGAGAGGGGTCTTTGTCTACTTAATCCTTGGGTCCTAGCTCCAAGGTCCATGTGGTGTTGAATGAATGAATGAATGAGTGGATAGCTGTGTGAGCTACTTGACCATGTTGAGTCTAGGTTTCCTCGTCTGTAAAATGAGGATCTGAATAAGAAGGCTGGCATGTCTGAGGTAAGAATGGCCCTGACCCATGGATATGCAAGAGGAGAACTGGGATGTCGCAGGAGCTGAGATTTCCGCCTCCGCCACCTCCACCTCCACCGCCTCCGCCTCCGCCACCGCCACCCCGTTGCGCACTGTCAGGTCCGTGTGTGAAGGCTCCCTGGGCCCTGAGAGAAGCAGGTGCCTTGAGCTCTCATGGAGCCAGACGCTGAGAGTGGTCGTGGCTCCTGCCTCTGCCTGGACGCCCAGAGGGAGCTCTCCGATGGCCCAGACATGTTTCCAACAAGGACATCTTTCCTCCGTCTCCGTGCCGGGGCCCCTGCTCCGAAACCAAACAAGGACACATCGCTGCCATTCCAGGGCCCAGCGTGAGCCTGCGCTTTGTTCCCTTTGTTCCCACGCAGAGCAGAGGCGATGTCAGCCCAGAGCACAGCCAGGCACTTGACCTTTCCCGAGCCTGGGCGGCCTCCTCCAGGGCAGACTGTCTGGCCCTGGCCTTGGGGAGACTGGCACCAGGTCACAAACTCCATTCCTGCCTGAGACCCGGAGGGGGCCGAGGGCCGAGGGCCGTGTGGACCAGTTGTTCTCCCAGGTCAGAGGGAGTGGGTGGGGTAGGGAGCAGGGTGGGTTTCAGAGCCCATCCATTGCCTCAAGGCCAGAGCCCCTTGGCTGTTCCCACGTCCTCCACAACCAAGCTCCCACACTGGTCACATCAGCAAAGCCATCTGGGGTCCTGGCGACCTGCCTACAGCCAGCTCCTGCCTCCCGGAGTCACCGCTACCCACTGCTCTCCCCCAGCCCTGAGAACGCCCCGCCACGGGTGGGAACTTGCAAGGCATTAAACTCGTAAGGGAGGCCTCGGGGGGCCACCAGGCAGGGACTTTGAGGGCCCACTGGCCCCCACGTGAGAGAGGAGGCAGTAAAGCACAGAGGGGCACAGGAGTGTAAGCAGCGTGATCAGGAGACATTTCTGCTCAGAATCAGCCAGAGCTTCCCAGTGGCACCGAGTTGAGTGTTGCAGGGGCTGCCCATGGAGGTGAGAGTCCTGGTCATCAGGGCTGTGTGAGCAGAGGCTGGTGCCCGGCCTGGCTCTTGATGGGGTGGGTGAGGATTGAGCTGTGGCCCCAGCCTGGCTCCCACGGCCCCCCCACACTGCTGGGACGGGCTCAGCTTGTGCTTCTGTGTCTGCTGATGCTCTCGCTGCTGCCCGGAGGCCTTTTTCACAGCTGAGAACTGTCCATCCTCAGGACCCAGTTAGTAGCCCCTGCAGGAACCCCTGCCCTGCTCAGCCCTCTCCTGGGCTCCTTGGCTGCTGTGGGCTCGGGGCAGGGCTGCCATGAACCTGGGGCTCCTGGCGAGGACCCCCAGTGCCCAGCACACAGCCAGGCTGTGGCCATGAACTGAGCTGGACCCAGGTGTTTGAGGGAAGGAACAGGACCCCACTCAGACCCCGGGGAGGGGCAAGGACACATAGTGACTTTCGTGGTCACTTCTTCCACAGAAATGTATTAAAAATGATGTTTTAGCCCTGGCTGGTTTGGCTCAGTGGATAGAGCATCGGTCTGAGGACTGAAAGGTCCCAAGTTCAATTCCAGTCAAGGGCATGTGCCTGGGTTGTGGGGCTTGATCCCCAGTGCAGGACCCAGACCCATGATTCTCTCTCATCATTGATGTTTCTGTTAGGTGAGGAGGCAGAGGGAAAGTCCAGAGCGAAGTCCAGAGCTGATGCAAGGTAGATGGTGAGAGATAACTGGTGCCTTCCTAGACCCCTGGAATTCCACCTCTCATGCCCTCCCCCTCCCCCCGTAAACAGCTGTATAAAAGAAGTACCTGTGCCGCCTTTTGGCGCCAACTTCCCTGGCCCACCCCGGACCAGCGAGCTTCGCCCGGGAGGGAGCACAGATTAAAACCTCCCCACTTTTAATCGCCTGGACTCCGTGTCTTGCTTTTGTGTCGCAAACTTCTCAGTTT